AGAAGTTTTTACAGAAGACGTTTGGTGTGACAAGGCACATGTTGTTCTTGGTAGCAGATGGTAGTCTGATTTGCACAGTGACAGATCACTCATATTGCCATTGACACTAATGGCTGTGGAATTGAGCGGGGACACTGGGGCAGCTATGCAGTCTTACATCCATGTCCAATCACTGCAAAGCAACGCAACCTGTCGCAATAATTATGACAGAACTATTGAGGCAATTTTTTGGCGACTGTCTCACTGTCCCACTAGTGTTCCCCTTGATTGGCCTTGGTTGCTTGCAAAGTCATTGTCATTTCTCACAACTTCATTACTTTGTGGCACAAAGCAATTTCCATCGTCTGTGCTCTTCCCACTCTGTTACCCCTAAAGGGAGTTCACACCATATGTGCACGACAACACCCTGTCGGATAGACAAGGTGATGTCTTCTAAGAGCGAGTTATCTCTCATTATAATAGTGAGCGTTGTCTTTCTATTATAATGATTTGGTTTTCTTGGATATGTCCTGTTGCTGAAACTGAATTCAGGTAATGTAATAGCTCCCGACTGTGGCCTTCATGGGATGAAATTAGAAATGGCTTGCTTAGGCTCATTCCATTTATATCCTTCCATTTTTAATCCTCAATAAAGTTCACATCAGGAGTCTGTCTGAAAAGCTTACCACATCTTCAGGCTGCTCTTCTGAAGCAGCAGGCTAATAAGTATATTGCTGTTTACATCTCACCCCAGTCTCGTTTGTAAGTGGTAGTAACATTACATTCAATCAGGAACTGTGGCATATACCAATGTGAAAATACTCCATTACAAGTACAAGTCTTAAGAAAAAGTACTGTATTATTTACAGTAACATGAACTTATATATCTGTGTGTAAAAGTGAAAGTACACATGGCCCATTAGCTACTTTAATGGCTAATTTCATCCTACTATATATTTCTATTCCACTTCAGTGCAGACGGAAATATTATCATTTTTACTTGTACCCATTTATTTGAAAGCTATACATATTAAGAGTTTAACATACAAAATACATGAAAGCTTTAAACAATTATAATTATTAATATATAATAATTATTAATATTGCAGTATTGCTGCCTTTACTTAAGGACAAGTACAAGAGGATCTGAATACTTCCTCCACCACTGTAAAACTCACACGACTCACACACAAACACATGCTCTCCATGCAGTGTTATCATAGCACTTAAACATCAGATGAGTAGATTAGTGTTTTAATCTCACTCTGGATCTGAGGCATCTCGCTCCCTAGTCCTACCCTCAGCCTGCTGTGAAATATTCCATCCACTCAACTGTAAATAAGTGCTAACAAGATTATCAGATTACCCTTCATCCAGGGCACCCAACGACTGCTGGGCACAGTAACTGCAATGATGTCAAAAATCCCTGTAAGATAATTGCGTTAGGAGGCACCATTTTCATGCAAATTTTCCAAAGGCTCACAAAGCTCAAGGGCAGCTTAAAACACTTTTCCTATTTGCAGTATGAAATATATTTCTTTGGTTGCCACTACCAGGCCATGCTAAATGTAAAGAGTGTAGTTGGAATGGGTCTATAGTTAAGAAAATGGTCCCAGTGTTTTTTCCGTGTCTCTTAAACAGGCTGTCTAGAAACTGGGCCAAGTTTAATTGAATTGACAGAAACAGATTAATCCCAGAACTTATTTTAATTATTTAATATTCTCATGAATAAGTACTGTACTTTATTGTACAAGTTGGAAGGAAACGTATGATGGCATTAAATTAGACAAAATGACATTTGCGGTGGTTTGCTGATGTTGAGTAGATGATACAGCATACTATATAGGGTCCTCTATAATGCGGCCATCATTTATACCATAGCAGTGGAACAGTGAATTTATATTCCAAAGTCATCCTGTCAACTAGTTTTTGTTTTATGATTGTGGTTTGAACAGGATTTACTGTCCTTGCCCAGGTACAGTGACTCGGTGGGGCTGAGCCAAAAGAGAAAACAAACGGGACGAGCTCCCACTCTCTCCTCCCTCTGTCACTATAGCAAATATATTTATATGCAAATTGGCCTGTGAAATAAAATGATTCAGAAAGCTAGATAGGAAGATGTTATATTTAATCTCTGGGGTTTGAGTCATTGACTAGGGAGAGGGGAGAGAGATTGCCGTTGATGCTTGGCGATGCGGGTGGAGGAAGTGCAAGTGCAATCTCGTCCCTCTTTCAGTTACAGTAGACTGGTGAATTGCATGTAGCAATCAGATTTGACTCATGGATTTATACGTGTGATACAAATTTTGTCAATACAGAAAGTGTTGTGCATGCACAGAATGCCCAGACCGAGATCTAAAGGTTATAGCTGCATGTGGGCTGCCGCTGGAGACAGCTAAGTATATTATAGAAATCATAGTGTGTATTCTTTGGGAAACAAGAGACAGTTTTCTCCAAAGCAAACACTGTGATTGGCATGTATTTGGTTCTGTTTCTCTGTCCAAATGTGGCAGTAGCACCTGCCTGTTCCTTCTGTTTGTCTGCTAGTGTCTTGTCCAGTTTCCTCTCCGTCTGTTTCATCTGTATGAGTCTCTCTGATTTCTTGGTGTTTATTTCTCTGCATCTTTGGCAGCGTCTATGGCTTTCTCCACAGCCAGTTCTTTCTCTGTTTGCTCTATTTTTTTGTACTCCCTCCAGCACTGCCGGTGAATTATAAAATGCATAAATTAAATGCTACATAATGTAGTACATAATGTCTAATGACAGTGATGGGTCCTTGCAGGCTGACAGCAGACACCTATAGCGCTATAATACATATATAGATTATTTATAAATGGCAACACATTATTTTAAGTACCACTATTAAGCATAAATGGTTTACAACACACTGTAATTGTGTTGTTTAGAAGTGGTGGCTAATGTATGAACAGATCATGCATGACAATATTTTCTATTATTACAACACAGTTGTAAAATTATAAATAATGTCTAATTAGGAGAGTTATAATTGTTGATATATACTGTATATTAATAAACACCTAAAAAGGTCCTTATAGTTGCATACAGCTACATTATAGTGTGTTATAAACCATTTATTAAATGTTTGTGTACTGCTTTTAAATGCTTAAATGTCACATATAAAGGATTTATGTTTTCCCCACAAGCTGGTTTGGGTTTGATAACTAGCAAGATGAATTAACCTTGCTTCTTTGTTGGCCATCAGTTCAGCTTTAGCATTTATATAATAATAATCTTCATTTGTTTTATTTTTTTTATCATCCTGATCACTTTCCACAACGAACAGAAATACTGAAGGTACACCCACACATATTGTTACCTATTAACAATTAATTTGGTCTTAATCCTAAATCTTAAAACCAGCAAAAGCTTGCTAGTAGCAGCCTGGCACATAAAGGGTTTCCTTGCATGTCAGCTGTGAAATGTGTTCAATCAAATGAACTTTGTTTGTGAAAAATTCCCATATGTTAACCACACTCCTGGAGTGATATAAACAATTTACAAGAACACATACCAGCAGATGACATGCAGTGGTGAAAATGACAGCTAGCAACCTAGTTTAATGGGCTTCTTACAAGACGTCGCGTGATGTCAGTGGCAGATTGCAAATGTCAAAGATGGTTCATTTGATCCTTGTAGCCGGCTGCCAAGCAGAAGTGGAAGCAAGTACACTAATAGCGTACATCTCTGTCTTTCCCCAGAATGAATCTCTTTCTTTTTCTCTTCCTCTCGCCTCTATTTTCTCTCATCTTTTTTTTTCTTTCTCTCTCTCACACACACCCTCTCTCTCTCTCACACACACACACACAGGTGGTCTGGCATTGCACCAGTAAAATCAAAGACAAAACAGACTGGATAGAATACTGAAGCTGGGTGTAGTGTCATAGCACAGCATCAGAAGTTGCCATGGAGCTACAAAAGTGCACTGATGCTGTTTTCTCGTTTCACGTCCATCTCACTTTTATCTTCAGCTGTATTTATATCACTGGGCTTTGTGCTGGCTGTTTCTGCATGTTTCCCTTTTCTTTCTTCCAACAGTATTATATTAACATAAGTCAATTAACAACAGTAGTTCTGAAAAAGACAATGGTAAAGCACAAAATGAGTAAAACTAAATAAATCTTAATAAAAACTATTTAAAGCACATTTGTGATTTGGGGCCATATAAATAACACTGATTTGACTTTTGGAAACGGCAAACAAATCACTGTTTTACTCTGATGGATGAACATGGCATTACTCTAGAATTAGACTTAATTCTTTTTATTCTTTTTTTTTTTTTTTACTGTCTCTTCAAATATTTTTTCTGTGACAGGTAGACATCTGCCACATCTAAACCCAAGGTATAAGTATAGAAGGTGGTGTCCAGTTGTATGGCTTTTCTTACCACTACCACTGACCAATCTGTCAACCGTCCCTGCACACACACACACACCTACACGCACACACACACACACCCACCAGCAGTCTCTAGAGTCTGTGCTGGACAAAATCTAAAGTCAAGCATGAATACAGAGGCTGACAGGCCAATTATCAGATGTACTCTTCGTTCTGCATCCCCACCTCTGAAGGGAAGCAGATGTGAGAATCCTGTCGCTTTCACTCAAGTCGGTACAAAGACATGGCCCAACAACAAAAGGCACACGCTTTGCAAGGAATCGAGATGGACAGAGTTGTAAACCACGTCTTGTCATAAAGTTTTATCTGGTGGGTTTTCACATTTCAAGCTTCAGAAGATTTGATGTGGTATGGGGATGTTTGTCAAAAGTTGAAATGCATCTGACGTTTCACCCCTAAAGTTTCATAAGGGAATGGCATTCCTTGATGCCTCATGATGTTTCATAAAAATATGAAAACGTCACTTTTTTCTCGACTTCTCGACTTCTCTCTCCATTTTAGGAAGCATACAGCACGTCATAAAATAATTACTGAGGTTAAATGAGCTTGATAAAATGCATATATACATGTATAATATAACTAAAGAACATTTCTTTGCTTCATAGGTGAATGTAGTTCCAGCATGTGTCAGAGCCCTGACCAAGATGCTGTACTGCCCATACTGTCGCAGCATGCCTGGGCTGAAACCCTGTCACAACTACTGTCACAACGTTATGAGGGGCTGTCTAGCGAACCAGGCAGACCTAGATGCTGAATGGAACCTGTTCATCGGTAAGGACAAAAAAACCCATTCTGATTTAAATCGAGTGCTCGAATTGAGTACCCGTTCATTTTTCATTCTCATTTTCTCTTTGTAATCTTCGTAGGTTTGTGTCTTTCCATCTGTCTGTCTGTGTGCAAAATTGTACTTCTAAGTGTTACTTTTCCAAGGCAGTGTCTTTGAATAGTCTCTGTGGGAATTCAGTAGGATGTGCTGTGTTAGATTCAGCTTTAAAGGATTTACAGAGACAAAACTGAAATCTTATTTGTGCAACCATTCCTTCTTTTCTGTCTGAAATGTTGTTTGCTATTGCTGGAGTCCTGGCATGGTGCTTAAAGCTCTGGTCCCTGCTGTTTGGGATTGATAAAGGAGAGCAGATCCTAGGCAAACACATTTTCTATAGTGTTTCCAGCTGAGCTTGGTGAGTAATATAGCACTTCAGTTAGGCTGTAAGTAGCTGGCTGCTGTAAGCCCTCCTGTTAAATGGATACCAAGGAGGCACATAACGTATTCCTGCTGGATCTTTTGTAGGCCAATGCTTTATTTGTTTTGTACCCCAACCCTATCCTCCCACCCACACCAACAGATATTTTCTAAATGGGGCAACATTTTTTCAAGAGACATCCCTGATGACTGTGTGTCATGAACTGCACTTCTAAGCTTTTGGCTGTTTTGTGACAGGCCTGTCGTTCGAGAAGCCATCAGATGACGTACTGCTTGTTCTCTCCAATGGCATGTCTGAAGTCTCAGATCAACACAGGCCCCTATGCACTGAATGAGATGTCTCGCAGCTTTATGACATGTGTTAAAAAGTTAGTGTCTTGTTCAGTTGTGAAGAGGCAAATCTATTGCCGCAAAGGGATGCTGTGCTTGACAGTAATGGGAAAAGCTGTTGTTACAACAGAATGATGAATCTGGTTAGACAAAAACACCCTTGAGGTGTAGAAATAGTGGTTTTTTAATTTTAAACCACTTTTTGTGCAGACATTGTTTTTTGGTTTGGAAAGACAGTGTTGCAGAGGGTATTATAATTAGAAATGTAGAACCCAAGGGATGTTTATTTTCACCATGAAAGACTCATTTTTTGATGTCTACTGACATTTCGTATTCATTATCTGTTGCTAAAGAACTTCGATTTGCTTACTATGCAGGTTGCAAGAAATATTGATTTGTCTTTCAGAGACTATTTCTAAATGTATCACAGGTCAGTTCTCACCACTGGAGCACATCTTTGCATTATAGAAATTTATGGATCGAGCCTGTACACAGTATGTCATTGTCATCCCTTTAAATCATCACTTATTAGAGAAGGTTAGATTAGAAGCACAGCTTTCAATTTTTAAGAACCCTCAATGACATTTACCTGTAGACTTTGTTCATGCTTAAATGTCGCTATCGATAGCATTGATTTGTTAGACCACAGGAGAAAGGAGACTCAAGGCTTTTTTTTAACTTCATTTTAAACTTCTACAGCAAGAGAGAAAAAGAGATGAGTTCTGAAAATGGCCTGTAATCTTTGTAAATCCTGCTGAATCAAAGACATGTGTGTAATAAATACAAGTTTTGTTCCCTGCTTTATTAAAAACAGGCCAAAAAATAATAGAAGAGTGCCAAGTTGGCTCTGTTCTATCAGAAGTGAAGGCCAAAACCAGACAATGATTTTTTATCTCTAATGTACAAAGTTGAGCTTTTCTCATTCTTACATTATTGGAACAAATCCAAATTGAAAACACTATTGCAACATCTGTTTTGTATAGATAAGACACTGAATAAAACAATGTGGACAGATTTATCTTACATTTAACACTGTAAATGTATTGTTGTATTTATAATGTAAATCAATAAAAACAAAACATATTCAGTTAATGACTGATTTCCAAATATTTCTTCTAAATAATGTCATTGCTTCATTCTTGTTTTCAGTGACATGCTCACACACAATCTCTTGTCAAACACATGGAAGCAGTTGTGTTGGTAATTAGCGTAGACTGAAGTTTAACTTATTTTCTTCTACCAAGACAATCTGACACCATAAGACTACATTAGCTGTAGAGGTACAATACATGCCTTTAGCAGAAAGCTCCTACAAAATTGACTAGCAACATTACTTCTACAAACCACCATACAATAACTCATTTAAAAATGGGCTAATTTTACAGTACTGACCTACAGACATGTCTGTAACAAATATAGGCCTTTTTTAATGGTGGACATTTTGAAATGTCATGGCAAAAAATGCACATGTGCAATTAATTTCATGAATACTGGCTGCATTCAATTTAGGTGAATTGCAGAGTGCTGCTATTGTACATGCTGGGTTGGGGCTTTTTGCTGCTATGAGAAGTCAGAATGGCTGCTGTGAAAAAAGGTCTATTATTTGAAACTATTATTTTGGTATGTAAAGTCATTTACTTTATGGAAATATGATATGTGAGAAAAACTGAAAATGGACCCTGCTAAGCATTTTCTTGTGAAACAGACTAAATATAACAAGCTGGCTTATAAACCTTTTTCTTCGCTTTGAGTTGAGGTGCTAGATAATGATGGATGATCAGTGGCAGTAACACAATGTGTCAAAGACTTTCTAATGGAAGAAGCATCAAGCCTGTCCAGGCCAATGACGTGCGTGTGTTTATTAAGTTCTTGGCTTTATTCCTTCTCAATGCAGTGAAAAGGTAGACTTCAGAAATATGGTTAGGAATAATATCTTAGTATTCATTTAGCTTTAGGAACAGTAAAAATATTTTGGACCGACATTTCATTAATGCAATTAGATTTGCACAGACCAGAGAGAACATTATTAAGTTTTTATCACAAAATAGAATTATAATATAAACTCTAATCTAACTGGATAAATAGATTTATAGCACTGGCATATATCACAAACAACTGTTGGGACTGAACATGTCATCTTTAAAGTCGGTTTTCAGTAATCACATCATGTAGCTCTACTACATTGCTCTATTCAGTTAGTGTTGTGTTCCTGCTTCCTCTTAAACATTTCTAGAAATGCATGTTCCCTTATTCCCAAAACACATGGTGACATCAACTACCACTGCTGACATGTCTGTAGACAACAATTTTTGGCAAGCGCAGAACAATACCTTATTCTCACACTCTCAAACACAAAAAACAGATTCAGAGTAACACATGACAGTCACATCACATGCTGCGTTTTGTTTTGTTAGAAAAGTGAAGATCAGGATTTATCTGTCATCATTTTGCCACAGAAAATATGTATTTCATCTGATGAAATATAGCATAAGACACAATGTGTCTCTTGGCTCTTCTTAAAATGTGAAAGAGGGAATGGTTGCGTTGGGAATAAATGCACTAAAAAGTTTTGTCCCCTTCCAAACTAAGATCTTTAATCAATGCTTTACTGTACTGCACATATTCATATATTTTGAAAAACTACTTCTACTACTACTTCTATGATATACACCACCTTTAGCTTTGGCTGGGAATTTATAGTAAAAATAAATGGATAGGAATAGAGATTTTAGTTGTAAGGATGTCAAGCCAGTGAAGTCAACATGTTCTGAATGTAAATGCTGTACAAAGCCATTAAAACATCACTTAACACAATCAGAGGACTTTGAGACACACTGTAACACCAAACAAATCTAGAAGACTTACAAGCTTGAGATTGAAATTAAATTTGAGGCAATCTAACAAACTGATAGCCTCATGATTTTAATATACACGTGTAAACACAAGCAGATTTAGATATTAAGATGTCACTATCACTCTTCTGTGGGTTTTACAAGCATTACTGGGGAGAGCAGAAAGAATGTGCCAATGCTGTTTATTCTTGAAATTGGAACAATAATGACCTTGGTGAATACTTTGTAGCCTGATATGTAGCCTACATATCACTATGCAGAAGAAGAATGATTACAGGATCCATGTCATACATTTCAAAGTTACAGTCACAGTACAGTAGCTGACAGCTTGTAAAGGTTACCGTAACGACTTTGTGGCTTCTGGGCTGCAAATGGAAGACAGATTGTCAGTGAACAATGAGCATAAACCTGAGGAAGGATGTGATTTACCTGCTCGTACCTGTGCTGAGTGATTTTAGGCATCCTGATTTTAAGTGTGTGTGGGTGTGTGTGTGGTACGGTGGGGGTGTGCTCCAATGTTCAGGGAAAGAATTCATGGTTTGGCCAGTGGAGGATACCACAGCATCAGTCACCTGCCATCATGATAAATGTACCCAGCTCTGCATCGGGACAGACACATCATTATCATTTTTCTTGTCAGCACCTTGTTAAAATACCCTAAGAGAGAGAGACGGACAGAGAGACAGACAGAGAGAGAAAGAGTGGTGGTACAGTAATGTGTTATTCACACACTACTGTAGTTCATCAGGCTCACACCATGACAGGCATTAAGTGACATCAGTGGAACATAAAAAGTTCAGCTACACCTGGCCAAAATTAATGGCATGTTTTAAATGACTGACAAACCCCTACCTCAAACAACAGTTGTCCAATCATAGCTTTGCAACCATAACGAGACACGACAGGCCTGTCAGACTGTGGATTTCTCTGCATGTTGAAGGGGTGTACGTGGGGTTGTAGTAAGACCAATACTTTTTTTCAGCCTTTCCAAAACCACAAACACAAGAGCAAAATGTAAAGAATTGTTTATCTCTAAAGTAAGCTGCAATTGTTAGCATGTCTAGCTTACCAGCTTATGACCTATGCCAAGTATTAGCATATCACTAACTAACTAGGTAATATTACTTTGTGAGTGTGTGTACTTCCGAAAAAGTTGTGACGTAGCGAACTTGTAACTCACGTCTGATCAGCTGTTTCTGCTGTCGGCGTCTTGCCCGGTTGTGTGGAGTTCTGCATGTCGGCCAAGAATTTCATGCACCTCGCAGCTGGTAACGCTCATTTGAGCTGAGAAAAGAGGTGGATGCAAATCTCGGCAGGTAACCATCATCTGTTCTGCCGAATTTTGCATTCACCTCTTAAAGGTCCTCTTCAGATACTTTTCTCTG